AGAACCTCTCGTCCAAACCACTCATGATGTTCCCAGACTCTCCAATCCCTGGAAATTGCCGACCAACTCCGACCCTAGAAGAGTTCCACCCTCAAAGCACTCTCATATGCCTTGCGTGTGCCCCAAAATGGGGCACCTCACATTTGCAATGCTGGAATCTAGAGTGTGTATATGACTGAATATATACACACATAAATACACATATTGAAACTGTTGCACAATCAAAAGGCCTCCCCACATCAGACGTTCCGCACCTTGTGATCCCTTAAAGCCTCGGTGAAGGATGGCGCTGCCCAGGCCACTGGACCCGAGCCATTGCCCCAAGCCTTGGAAATCACCATGAGGACGCGAATGTGGTGGACGTGTGTGCCAGGCCTTTTGGAAGGTTCTGGTCACTCGAAGTAGCTTCACTTACACTTTCACGCACTACTCATGATCACGGCAAATGTGTATGTGGTGTCTTAACAATGCCTAGGGCCTAACATATATATATATATATACATGCATATACTAAAGGATATTGCAACATGTCCACACTTCAGGCAGTACATCAAGTCAATTAGCAATCGATAGTAATCACTTCTTGAGTTCTTTGAATCTTGTTGGATGATCCCCTTTACCTCCATTTTCCACCACCCCCTCGTGCTCCCTATGCTCCGCCCGCAAAAAGAAACACCTCTTCTCCATCCAATACCCCTCAGCCAGGCCTGTCGCATTGACTCCGCCTGCTGCTGCACAGCCAGACGGGCGTGCAACTCCGCCAAGGTGGCCGCTTGCTGTGCCATCTCTTCGGCATGCTGATGAGCCATCTGCCTAGGAGTCTGGCGGTCGTCTCCCCCACCTGGGAGCCATCCGTTTCAGAGAAAGTTGAGGATCAAATCTGGTCGTTTTAGCACCTCATTCGAAACATGGGCCATTGGGCTCTATCACCCAGGCACAAAGACTCAGTCCGACCTGTCTCCTTCCAAGAGGCTCACTCTGGTTGGCCACGAGCTGTGCCTGCTCCCGTGCTTCCAACTTCATGCGCCGCTCGGCCGTCAAGGCCTCTAAAGCATCTGCCTCCATCTGCTCAGCGCGATGCTTCGACTGCCTGAGGGCGGATCGTTCTCAGCGACAAGGCTCTCTCTCTCTCTCTCTCTTGACGGTGCTGGCCTGCTGGGAAGGTTCGGGGGTGTCTTCAAAGGCTAAAGCCTCCAAACTGAAAGAGCTTCCAGTGCAACCCAGTCACAGGAGCTGTTGCTGAAGATCGTCCACCTGTAGCCAGGCTTGGTCATAGTCTCTTTGGAGAGGGTGTGTGGGCATTGATAGTCGCTGGCACATGGCTAGAAACCTCTGTGCAAGGTGCGGTGACTCAGTCCTTCAGTGTCACCAACATTCACCAACTACATAACAAGCAAGTAGGCTACAAACAAGTTGCAAAAGCACTAGATCTCACGTCAAGTAGGAAGCAACACATCAACCATTGGGAATTAGGATGATCCCTCAACAAACGCTTCTCCGCACCCACCCGCACCTCAGCCTGCTGCTCGGCCAGCAGTTCCTTCTGGCGCGCAGCCAGCTGTGCCTGGCCCTGAGGCAGCAAAACCAGTATGGCACAGAGTGCACTCTGGCGGCCGGCTGGTCATATCAAAACCCAAAGCACATCCCGAACACACCCTGGGACTGGAATGCCGCCCTTTGATCCCTCAAGCCACCACCCCACCCCACATTAGGTAAGGATTCCATGGAATGCCTGCACATAATTCACATGAAACCATGATATGAAACCCATAAGAACTGGTAGTCCACTCAGCTGAGGGGGGGTGAACCATGGTCTTGACCAAGGGCCAAACCCTGTGCCTCACTGGTGCCGAGTGCTTAGGGACCTCCCACAATTGCTCCAAGCCTTTACTCTCTAGATGGTGACCATGGGTTGGAAACCCCCCATCCCTTGGCCAAGCAGTGAATCTCATGCCGCTTCACCCATGTCGGCATCTGAGGATGGGAGATGTACATATACAAGATAGATAGATAAATAGATAGATAGATTGATTGATTAGATTAGATTAGATTCGATTGGATTGAATTGGATTGGGTTGGATTGGATTGGTTTAGATTAGATTAGGTTAGGTTAGATTAGGTTGATAGATTGATAATGATAAATAAATCCGCCGACCCTCTGCCACGTGCAGAGGCGAGGCCTGTCTTGTGGAAAGTTGCTTGTAAAGATAGCTTGTAAAGATTTTGACCTTGTCCTTAGAATGTTCCTTGGCGTGGATTTTTCGTTTCACTGACTTCACCCCCCCTCCCCCGCTCCTCTTATTGTTGTTCTTCTTCTTCTTCTTGTGTTGGTTGTTGTTGTTATGTTTATATCTAACCACGGCATTGTTCTTACAATCCAAACGCTTGGTGGGGCGGCGGACCCGGCCGAAGGCCATTAAATAGATATGGATATATAGATATTAAGCAAGGTCTGGGGCATCCCAATGCACATCACTGGGACGCGGGCCAACAAAACACACAACCTTCACAAAGCCTGGCCCTCTGAGCTACGTCCCCGGTCACGTGCGCACCTCCAGCTGCTCGTTGCGGCGGTTGGCCTCCGACAACTTCCGCTCGAGCTCCCGAATCTCCTCCAAGCACGGGACTCAGCACTCGGGACTCAGGTGGGGGGGGTTGGGGCGAGACTCAGGGGAGTGTAATGGAGTGATATGTCTGGGGAAGAATCCAAGAACTGGACCATGGAATGTTGGTATGGGAGCGGCGGCCATGTAGACTCTGTAGACCTTGATGCGATGCCCTTGCCCTTGCCCAAGTAAGCGTGTCACATGAAGCCTACGGTGCTCGTACTTGTGCTCACCAAATCTCAGCTGAGATTCTTGCTGGACTGTGTGGTTCACCAGCATCAAGTACCCAAAAGCAAACATAAACCGGTCCAAATATGATGGAAACACATGGAAACATCACTTGGACGTTTTACAGTTGTGTCACTGGTCACTGGTCACAGCATTGCAATTCAGGTGGTCCCCATGTTAAAACTATGAACAAGACTCGGCGATCATCTATGCAGTGCACAAAAAGTCACCACTTTAACCTTTTTGAGGCAGATCTCGCATGATCTCGCTGCATGGCCCATCATCGCCTGATCCTTAGCTCGGCTTCGTTCACTGGAGGTGAAGGTCCGCGCCTGGGCGGCGGTCGCGCCGGTCTTCGATGCGGACAAGGGGGGTGACCCGTTGCCCTGAAAGAGGATCGGGTGCGTCCTGTTGGAGTTTGCCCGGCAGCTAGCAGCTGGGATCTATAGGGAACATAAGTTGCTGAACACATATCAAACACGCATGTTTCCTTCAAAGCTGTGGTATTATGGTACAGTAAGGAACTGATGCCTTGACAGGAGTGGATGAACGGTTAAACTGCTCAACTTGCAATCCTTGAATTGAAAAGGCCCAAAGGATTTGCAAGCATTTGGAGGTCTTCTCCCAAGCTGAGCCACTATAGCCACTAAGCAAGCAGCAACCATAATCCAGGCATCACAACCAACCAACTAACCAACCACTGTTGGGTCTCCCTTTGACTCAGTTCATTTGAGTGTCGTCACCACACACCTGAGAAGGCTCGCTTTTTCCTTTGATCGCTCCTGTCCTACCAGCGGCCAGCTCGCTGGACTGGAATGTCCGCGCAGGCGTCGACAACAGCGCAAGATTCGTCCTAAGCATCGTCCAACACATTCGGCAAACATCTCCTGTCTGGCAGATAAGGCCTCAGATGCCTCAAACTGCTCATTCTCGTCCTCTTGGCCTCATGAAGAAGATGCAAACTTTGCAGAAAGCCCGAGGTGACTGGAAAGCCCAGTTCTTTTCGCTCCAGTACGGAACAAAATCGATCACAAACACACCGGCCAAGAAGCTGAGCTGGGTAATACCTGAACGATCATCATGTGATGCCCCAAAAAAAACTTCCAGGGATTCCCGAGGCCCCTCCGAACCCCTGCGACGAACCACCACAGCCCAATAGGGGAGCAACCTTTCGACCCTATGACCTGCGATGAGGAGCAAATCGGACCAGGACAGTTCTCCCAAAAAGTGTTGAAGCAAAACTCCCACCTACACCTGGGAAGAGGCCCACATGAAACATCATAGAACCTGATGGCATGGACCTTGCCAAGACGAGGATATCCTATAACCCGGTCTTCAGGTTCCACCAGGGCGTATTTCATCAACTTCCGCGGAGTTGCTCCTTTTGCAAAGGGCAAACTGAAAGCACCTACAGTACTCTCCCGCATAGCGGCTCCGACCGGCCTGGCGTCTCTTCAGCTTGGGGCCCAGCCCGCTCTTTTCTCAAGAGCTCCTCGCAAGGCGCGAGGGCGCACTGCTCACAGAAGCTAGCATCTAACCCGCAGGTGAGGCATCCTCCAATAGCTGCAAATTGATTGGGAGCCCCAACATTGTGAAGCTGGAGTGAGTGTATGCTACAGTATCACCGAATATATATATATATTTACAGTATTTCATTTTATTTCGAGGTCTGCCAAGCCAACCGACCAACATCACCAAACATCTTTTCGGTCTCCCGGTCCTTGCAATTTTCCAGGCACTGCCGAATCTCCAGGCTCTTGGGCATCAACTGCGCTGCTTCCCGCAAGTCCTGAGGGCTCACTGGGGGTTGCTTTGTCCATTTTTGTCCGCTATGCAGGGACCCGCGAGCCGCGGAATCGATGCCCCGATGCCCAGCTTCTTCCAAGGTGTCAGGTACACATTCCGAAGCAAGACGATCAAATTGCAGCCTTCGTCGTCAGAATGTGTATACACATGGATATATGTGTATACTATCTACCCTACAAATCCAAGTAGCTTCTCAGAAGGTACCATAGCGGTGCGTCCAATCACCTGCTGAGAAGGCACTGGGATCCCTAGGGTATATATATGTATACATATATATATATATCCATATATATATATATCTCCTACCCTGGGGTGGTAGACATCAATTCAGGGTGTAATGGTGCATACATTCCATTGACTTCATCCTTCCAAAAGCCGCGTTCGTCGGGTCCGAGGCTCCTCCAGCGCGCTCTCCAGGTCCCTCTCAGGGCCCGCCTCGCCACGCGCCAGCGCGCGGCGAAAGCGCAGCTTGGCCTTGAAGGTGGTCTTCTCCTCCTCTGGGAGCTTGTTCACCTATGGTACGGGATGGTCACAACACAAAGGGAGGACAATGAAACATGGATGGCTTTATCAGGTATTTCGGCATGTATTTGTTGGTTTTCAGCTGTCATAGTTATCCTTTTAAGCTTTGCCTGCGTAGATGGTCAAACAAAGCTTGTGCAACAATGGGCATGTCCTTTACAAGCCAATGCCTTGGGATTCTAAGTTTATTTGCTTGTGCTGATTCTCTTCGCTGCTAATTGACTTCCCCTTCTCTTTGAAAGAGGCCTCTGTAGTGTACTGTTGAGTCTGTCCATGTTGGGATCCTTTTGTGGGGGGGTGCTTCTATCATATCAGCTTGCGCTGGGCAGGTTGTTTCCACATCCAGCAACCAAAGCACGTGGCGCATCCCCAAGGAGGCAGCTTTCACCGCATTGCTGAAGTCGCCACGCTTCCTGACCAAAGTGAACAGTGGAAAATACTTGAAGTAGCCTGACCCTGTATGGTATCTGCAAAGCTCATGTGAAGGCTGTTGATACAAACGTCCATGCATCGCATCCATTCTATAATCTAGTCCGCGCTTGTTTGCGCCAAGCTTCAGAAAAACTTGGGTCAAATTGCTCAAGATTGGCAGCAACAGCTGAGCGAGAGCAAGCCGCTGTGGCTCGTCCATGCTGAGCTGCTGCTGTGGGGTAAAATCGATCGAATGGATCGCGCCCAGGTTGCAATGAAGAGCACGGCGATAGTCATCTCTACCATACCACCTCGATTCAAATAAATGCCAAAGAATCCAATCCAGCACATTCCTGCAACCCAAAAATAATCCAAATTCTTTAGAAAAAGGATCAGTATGTATCAGTGTATCAGTATGTTCCGGAAAGGGGACGCGGACAGTTATTTTTCCTCAAGCCCATATCTGAAAACATCCCAAGCCTGTCAGAGATTCAAGTGTCGCGTCATGTGCCCATGTCCGTCTCGGCCTAGGCGCTCGTTGCCCAGTTGCTTCAACCGCTGTCCATGCTTCATCCGCGACTCCAAGTCGGTGGGCCTCGTGAGTCCTCAAGAGAATCGAATCACCAAGCGTCGCGAACGCGTGTGCGAGGACGCTAGAAGCATCAAATGAAAATGCAACAGGTTTAAATGGCTCCATGTGGCTCAATGTGCTTTTTCTTTTGTATACCCACTGGCAATGTCTTTTAATCTGCGCAGCTCTTGCGAGTGGCTTGAAAGGATCTCAGCCCCCAGCCCATCAGGGTTCCTTGAAAGGCTGCCCAGATCTTTGGATACTGCTGGATCAACGGTAGCAGGTCCCAACTCATCCATTCTCCAATTAAAAGGACTCCCCAAAGTCAGGCCTCTCAACTATTTGGGGGGGAACACTGGTTGGCTCTTCGGTCGTCCAGGCTGAACTCCTAGCGCCATTCTGTGGCTTTTTGTTGCTTCATTCGTATTGTTTTGTGGTTCTTTTTTTGGGGGTATGCAAATGTAAATGCATACGTATTTATACATTAATTATGTATGTATATGTATGTGTTTGTTTCATCCATTCTCTTTCTCTCTCTCTCTCTCTCTCTCTCTTGCGCCCCCATCCAAAAGCGACAGCCGCTCTCCTTCCTCCCGCAACCACAGCAGCAGTTGCCGCCGTTCAGACTCCACTTCACAGAAATGCCTGGCGTTTGCGGCAGAATCGCGGCCTGGTTGGCCTCTCAAGTCCTTCTCTGCTTGAGTATGTATGGGCACAATGGGTGTGCATCCCGCATCCCATGGTCTACTGATGTCTACTGTTCCTTTGTCTACGATGGTTGGAATAGTGAGTGCTAGGCTGAATAGTGGCCACGATGTGAGTAGAAGACCCGATGGGCAGTAGTGTCCAAAACTCCTTCCATGTGAACCTTCGCCACAGGAACCTCCTCGCCATCTCCTCCCTGGTGTGAGAACAGGACATGGCGTTCAATCATAACTGTTTTGCCACACCTCTTTGGACCTCAGAAGCGGTGATCGTGAGGGAACCCACTGTTTTCCCTCAAACGTTCCTTAGTCTAGTTGAAATCCCTCATTCAAGTTGCGCCACCCACTCGCGCCTCAGCCAATGTTCCATGAGCATTTCCCGTTGCTTCCGCTCCTCTTTTCGTTGCGCCTCCCAACTGGCCGCCATGGCTATTTAAGTTCTCGCCTGTCTTGATCAAAAGTCTGAGCTTTCAGGGGCTTCATTCCAGTTGATTGAGCATATTGAGCAGCCTGCATGTTGGCGTTCTACAATCTCCCAGGAGATGACGCGGTGATTTGCCGCTGCTTTTAACTTAACTTGACTTATTGTTGCGGAAGGCAAAAGCCAATCCACCTAGGTTTGCTGTAGATGGGCCGCTCTTGACACGACATGACACCACTGATGGCCGCTGTGCATTTGGCTGCTCAAATGGTCTCATGAACATATCTTGACGTGCTTCAAGCGCCAAGGAGGCCAAGGAGGCAAATGCCCAAAAAGCTTGTAGATTGCATCATTGATTCATGGTGCCCAGCGGAAAAAGTCATCGGTTGACCACTGAAGCGCTACTAAGTAGTGCACAGGTGAGCATATATTATATCTTAAAGCCAAAGCTGGTGATGGTTTCCCTTATTTTGATTGGGTGGTTGGTGACATCTAGAATCTAGCCCGAGGCACTTCAGTCAGAGTCTATACTTAGGGTCAACCATGGTCAAGCCCAGGGCTTGAGTACAGAACCTTGTCATCCTCCAATCTGAAGCTCTCCGTCCACAAGGATCATAGTTTCTCACGTTTCCCATGATGGCAAGGTTCCACACGGGGATAGGAACTCATGGCTTCCAATACACGGAGAAACGGCGATTCATCCTTCTATGTTGCTATGCGGAGTTGCCAAGTGAGGGGACCAGAAGCGTATGTAGAATGTAGACCCTTCATTCTAGTAACGATAAAAAAACAATTTCACCACTGCATACATAACTTGACCAAAAGGGTTCTTGGTGGTTGTGTACATCTGCTTGCTCAACATCTTCTCCCATCTCATTTGGCCCAAGCCACACTGGCACCCAAAGGCATAACGACGGGCTCCTGCAATGGTCAGGCCAAGCAAACGAACATGTACAGTAGCTGCCGGAGTGGGAGTGTATCTACCTGCACCTCTGACCCCTCGCTCAGAAACTCGCGCTATTTGCGCTCTTTCTTGAGAAATGACAGGGTCATTTTTCGAGGGTCTTTGTCACCAGCAGCTTGAAAGACCCAACCACCAACATATATATATATGTATATGTATAGAGCATGCTTGATCTACAGACCTTGTGACCTGCCGGCTGTGGCAACTAATAGCACTCTCTGTGTTGGATGCTGGCTGTCAAAAATGGATGGTCGTCCGTCGCTGACGTGGCTGGGGTTGGTGTCGAACTTGAAGAATCTGGCTTCTTGGCTTGAAGTCATTCGTCTTACGAAAAAAGATTAAAAAAAAAAAAAACAAGAGGGTCAGCTTGTAGTGAAGAACATCGCCCTTGAGAGTTGACTCACTTTGACTCTCAAATTGACTCACTTTGACTTGGCATTCCACTCATAGCGTGGAAAATGGTCACTATTTTAGGATCCGAGTCACCCCAAAGAAAGCAAGCCCCTCTTCCCAAGGTGGCTGATTCCAGGAAGGACACATGATGGCAAAAGCCTGCCTGTTGTTTTTGGTGGAAAGCTACCTCAAAAATTGCCAGTTGCACGAATCAACAAAGGCTTTGCCTCTCCCTCTCTCTCTCTCTCTCTCGTGGTCAAAATTGTCAAAGGATGTCAGGAAAAAGAAAAATGGGTCGACGCCGTCAAAGAACTCATAAGTAAAATCTTGAAGCGCTTCAGTCACCGACCGAAGCTACCTGCTTCTTAGGACATGTCATGTTGAGTCAGGTGACCACGGTGACCTCGTTGACCACGCCAGGTGACCACTGTGACCACCAATCCGTTGAGTCGAAATTGGTTGGACCTCGTTTTGGGACCGGACGAGTTGCGAAGGCACAAGAGTTGGCAATATGAGGTTCTTGCCAGCCTGGTGCTAGTCACAAAGGAGTTTCTACATCCAGCTGCTGCGTCAGGAGATCATCTGAAGGTACGGGCTTCCGACAGAAAACCCTTTGCCGCAAGCATTCAGCATTCAGCTCTCCAAACCGTCACAGTCGGGGGAAGGGAGTGAACGTTGCCCCAGGAGCAACCACGAATGTCCAAGCACGCAATGAGGTGTCCAAGTTTGGATGATCAGGAGTTTCCGTCAGCGAGAACGAGTTGACATGTTCATGGCAAACGCATACAAAAGCACTCTGTGTACAAATAAGACTGCAAGTCTGATAAGTAGTACGATTGAATCAAAAACATGGGATCATAATTAATTTATAATGACTCAAAAGCATCCAACTCAACAGGTTCTTCGATTTCTGCATTGCATGACCTAACCATTCCCCAGCACGTTCGGTCGACCAGGTTGTGCCCCAGCTGCTTCTCCCAACGGTCCCAACCCCAAAGCCATGATGGGTCGGAGCTCCCCCCCTTCTGAAGGAACCGGACGCAACTCATTCCCTTTCCGTACCCAAGCGCTCCATGGGACTGCCATATATGCCGATCAGTTGGGTTGGTGCCAGAGGGGCCAATGGGGCGGCAGTCCTATGGCAGTCCCATGCGTCGCGTCTGGGAAAAAACAATATATATATATATATACACAACCTTCATAAACCCACTTGGCGCAGCTATGGAACAGTCCCATGGAGCGTCTGGGATATTCTGATCCTTTTGTGTTCGCCTCCGAAGGCCGAAGGAGCCACCGAAGCGCCCGCCTCCGTCCTCGGTACCTCCCAACCGCCCCACCTGGGAGAAGCCGCCGCCGTCGTGTCCGCTCCTCGGAGCCGGATGGACTGAGATGGTCCGGGACGGTGCGGGACGGTCTGAAGGGATCATGGAAGTGGATCAAGAACCTGGTATTCTGGTTTTGGCCGGAACCTGAATCATCATCCAAAAGGGCATGCCATCTATGCACAGCGCCTAAGGGTTGTCCCCAAGTCTCACTTGGCCCAATCGCACTTGGGTCTGGTCGCCAGTCCAAATCGAGTGTCTGGGGCTGTCGTTGGACGGCCAGGAGGACACCGTGTCGAGAACAATGAATCGATACAAAACACCAATGCACAAGCTTCAAGGACAATCCCAAATTGGTCATGTGGTCTAGCTTGACTGACCACCAACCGGCAGGGCTACCTACCAGTCAACCATCAAGCAAGACAGCAGCCAAGCACACATGTTCATCGCTGTTCATCCACACATGGGCCCACAAATCAAAAAATTACCCCACCACCCGATAGAATATGATAGAGCATTGTACATCATTGTGCAATATTGCACGTATTTGTACATTATCAGCATGTAATGTAGCACAACAGCCAGCCATGCTTTTTGAGGGCGACTGTATGTAGGTCGGACACTATCAAATCAGCTTACATTCAACACTGCATTGCCCTACTACTTTGAGCGCATGCATGTTTCATTATGTTTCGTTCTTGTTCTAAATGAGCCCCCCCCAAAGCCACACGTGCAGTCACACGCATCTTTGACTCCGATGGCTCCTTTCGGCTTTGCGAGGACTGTGCATGTGCATCGGTCAGGCCGGCAGCCGTGAACATCCGTGAACCCAAGAAAAAACGCCCACTCGTGCTCCCAGTCAAGTCAGTAGCCAAACATTGTCATCGTCAACATCGAGGTCCCGAAACATGGGACAGGTTGTATATTATATACAGTAGATACCTGGATCTTCCAACTGTGCATTTCTGCCTTTTCATCCATAAAGCCAGCTTAAAAGGCAGGAATTTGGTATAGTTGGAAGATCCAGGTATATCACTGTATAGTATGCATAGGGGTACCATGGGGTACTATAGACTCTTATATTGTACAGAAGCCCTTGTCTGCCCTGGTGTGTCATCTGTGTCTTCGTGACGATCGGGGATGGAATCTTGGAAGTGACGCAGCAGCCATCGCAAATCAACCAGCTCCGTTTTTGTTTACCTGAGCGTCACCCCATGGCCCATGATGAACACCTGCTTCGTCATGCGATCGTCTTGGGTAGGGTGCGACATATGGTGAGTTTGGCTCATGCAGTGGGAGCCAGGCCACATCCCAACTCTGGAAGCATCGAGAGGGGTGTCCACGCGGAAGAATCTTGGCCATCACACTCCTTGTCCCCATGCACATCCATGTTGTTTCTATCATGCTCAGCATCCTGCTTTTGCCAATGTCTGGTGGAATTGTGGATGATTTGCCTTGGGGTCCCCCAAAGAGAGAAGTTCATGGGCTACACAATCCTGTAGCCAAGGGATATGTTCTTTTCTGCCACAGGTCATCACAAGCCTCCCCTCAGCGACAAGTACAACTGGAGTTGGAAGTTATGCAATTGTATGGCTAAATGTTCTGCACATGTCTGCACCCCCTATATAGCTATGGCATGCTATGGCCGAATCTAAGCCCAAAACCGCATTCAATGCAAGTCAACCTAGCCAAGTGGGTTCTCCAACAGGTGTTTTCAGCCACCAGTGTCTCCCAAAAATTGCCCAATTGGAGACTCCAGCTGAGTGATTCATCCCCGAAAACGCTTCTGGAGCAACCTGAAACCGTTGGGACCCCACACCGTGCCCCTTCAGCGCCCACTGATGCTTCACCCAAACGGTTGGTTGCCGCGCCAGCTTAGCAGCTTGAGGTCGCCCATGGTCAGGCGCTTCAGCACTTCACCCGGTGCCGGTGCCGGTCCGGGGAACAAGGAGACCGGAGGTCACCGGAACGCGGTCCCGCTCCGCATGAGCGGAGGGGTGGAGCTGATGGAGAGCGACGACCGAGTTCGGTCGAGGTGGTCGGCACTGCAGCTGTAGCTGTAGCCCAGGTAGGCGAGTACCGCGATGTCGGGTGCGATCCGCTGTCCTTCAACTCCAAACATGTGGCTTCAGCATGCATTGAATTCAGCTGTGGATAACGTCTTGCCAGCCTGTCGGAATGACAATTCAGGGGGGCAAGGCCCGAGGTCTTATCTTGAATAGTGAAGTCGTGAATCAATGCAAGCTTGTTTGAGGTGTGCGTTTGGCGGCCCTTGTGGTGTGCAAAGTTGAGGAGCCAATGTCCCAACCCCTTCTCAGTCGAAACGT